ATTTTATTTTAAACATAGGTTATAGATTATTTGCAGAAATACGAATACCAACATTAGACTGGCCAGGCAGTAGTCCTGATTTCTATCTGTTGTATTTTTAGGTTGATTAATAGTTTTATTTAAGGATGTTTAATAGGAATCAGATTTTACACGTTGTTGGCGATAGAGGTGACAGAACAGAAGAGAGGCTTAGAGGAGATACTTATAGAATAACAATGCTCGCGATATATATATGGTTGTGCTGCCAATTGTATTTCGAATACTATCCGATTCAATATCGTTGTCCTATTTTAAAAGTTAAAAAACATTAAAAAACCAAAAAAAATAAGAGAATTTATCTGAACATGGGAAAGTGTCTGTTATAAAGACATAATTAAGAAAATTAACGAAAACTTGGTAGATTTATGCTATCAAGAATAAAGGCCGTATTAAAAACTCGAAGAAGACCAACTAAATACTAAAGAACCAAAACAAAATTATTTTTGAATACGTTACACACTAAGCCAATAAGAAATAATTTTGAAAAATTTTAGATCGATTTTTTAAAAAATTTTTGTTTTTAATTTTTCTGATCGTTTCAAATAAGTAAAATATGTAAGAAGTAAGTTTTCCAGTCGAAAGGAGTCGAAATAAGCACTCGAACCTTTCGAAGGAACATTGAGAAGGCAGGACTTCATGGGCGGCGAACAGCGAAAAACCCAGTCTTGACTTAAAAATGCATGAATCTTGGACTGTACATGATTGGCGAAACGTAATTTTTTCTAAGGACACCAAAATAATCCATTTGGGTTACAATAGTATGAGCTACGTGCACCCCAAATGCGACAAACGCTTCAAAAATAATTGCTTGTGGCGAACGGTCAGGCAAGGAGCATGCCGAATGGTCCGGGGATACTTTTCTTACTATAGCGTTGGTGATCTGGCATTAATTGATGGAACTGTAAATGCCGAATTCCAAGGTGTTCTGAATCGTCACTTGCTACCCTCAATGGAGGAGCATCTTTCTAGCGCCCTAAACATAATCTTTCAGGACGACTCAGGTCCAAGGATCGGCCAACTATATCATATAGCTGCCATGTAACTGAACGATCGGAAATGGTTTTTGGTTTTTGGATCGGAAAGGGTTTTTTTGAAGATAGAAGTTTGGGATTTTTTTTACAATTTGTATTATAATAAATTTGGTTATATTACCATAATCTCATAAGGATCATCCAACTATATCCGATGTTTGCGATATATATCCGGTTTTAACTGCAAGGGTATATCAACTTCGGCTCCGCCCGAAGTTAGCTTTCCTTTCTTGTATTTTTTTTTAAATTTAGGTAATAAATTATTTCCAGAAAAATCGAATGTCAACATAAGACTGGCCAGGCAGTAGTCCTGACTTTTATCCGATTAAAAATCGTTGGCCTATTTAAAAATACATAAAAACAAACCCAAAAAAATAAGAGAATTTAATTTAACAGTGGAAAGTGTCTGTTATAAAGACATAATTAAGAAAACTAACGAACACTTGGTAGATTTTATGCCATTAAGAATAAAGGCCGTATTAAAAACTCAAGAAAGACCAACTAAATACTAAAGAACCAAAACAAAATTATTTTTAAATACGTTAAAAACTAAGCTATTAAGAAATAATTTTAAAAAATTTTTGTTACCTTGGAATAGTTGAAAAAAAAAATTTTGTTTGTTTGCCTACATTTTTGGTAATTGCATCGAATATTGAAGTATACGTTTTATTTCCAAATAAAACATAATAAAATTTAAAAGAACACGTTTTGAATTCACATTTATATTAATTTCATCGATTTAATTTACAAATTTACTCCATAAAGTAAACGCTGGCTGAAAAGAAACTCAAAAAGTAGTATTTTCTGCCTGTCCGGATTTCATTGTCCGCTACTGTATATTCATGATCAGCATCAACAACAGAGTCGATATAGCCATGTCCGTATGTTCGTCCGTCCGTCCGTCTGTCCGTATGAACGCGTGGATCTAAGAGACTATAAAAATAGAGCTGTAGTATTTGTCATGTAGACTCCTATAATGCCCACGCATTTAAGTTATTTTAAAATTTTTGCCACGACTCCTTCAGCTTCCATAAATTGCAAACTTTCTGTAGCGCGAGTATAGGAAGGTTTTTCGAAAAAACTATTCTATATGCCATACTATTTCTATAGTTTATTTATATCTTGTTATATTTATTTTTTGAAAACTTTTTGATGCCAAACTATTCCAATGGGCATACGAAATTTTTCTGCCACACACACACAGTATAAATGTGTGAAACGTCATGTAAACGACTAATACTAATGCATTAAAATCATATCAATAAATTGATTGCCGACCTCTGTTTTAAAACGAATCCTATTGCTGAATTTTTTTGCTGAATCCTAAAGTATATCCCCTAGAGAATATTTTCCCAAAGTTTCATGGAGATCCGAATAATAGTTCGATAGGAAAACAGCGTTTTTAGGCGCGGTTCGTCACGGCTGCGGACAGCGTCAAGCAACTTTTAATGCGATTATCTCAAAGTCGTGTTTTTCCAAAAGTGCCTTCGCTGTGACCACGATTACACAAGAACTATTTGATCGATCTTCTTCAATTTTTTTTTAAATTATTCGTAATGATTGTGCCGAGTTCGTGAACGATTCAGTTTTTTTGCGTCTATTTTAATTTCGCAGATAAAAATTTTTTAATAAAATTTTTAGAACTGAAAACATCAATTTTTTGGAAAAATGTTTATTGTATGCAGAAAAAACCAAATATTCTTGAAAATAATCGTTCACGAACTGGATATAATATTATACTAATAAAAATTTTTTGGTTTTTTGATTTTGGTTGACCTGCTGGACTTCTATCGTGGTCACCGCAAGCCGCTATAAAAAAAAAGGGTTCCGAGAGAATTGCCATAACTTTGTAAATTGTTTATATATTTTCAAGAACAAACGCTTATTGTTTCGATAAAAACATGTACTATCAATAAAAAATAACTTCAGTGTCATAAAATAATTGCTACACACCTGAAATAAAAATCCAAAGTTCCCTCAATTTTTTCGCTCAAAAAGGTATATAACCCCCTAAAGGTATCGACCAAACTTTGCACTTACCTTTTTTTTGAGCACGCGTATATAAATCGGAAAGGCTGGGATCTGCCGCGTATATTCTGAAGATTTTATATAACAGAAAGATTTAAAATAAGACAACTTTGGTGTTTTTAAAAATAAACTATTTAGACTTTTTCATATGCGACTTGTTTTAAATTTCAGAAAGTTAAATTAATTTTATCTTAAAATTCTTGTAACGATCGGTTAATATCATCGGGTATCTGCGATATTTATGTATAAGGTTGTCAAATATCTCCCTTCCGCCTTTTTGTCTTTTGAATTTCGCGGCTATGTACAAAGCGCTACAGAGCTCGTATCTGGCAACACTATACATAATTTAAAAGGTCTTGACATAACCTACAAAACGACGCTATGCATGATTAGTTTGGATATTGCGTTCACCAGTTATAGACGTGTAAACATGGAGTTCACTAACGCCGAAATTCGCGCTATTTTAAAGTTTTCCTTCGTTAAAGGCAAATCCGCTAGAGAAACGTTCCGTGAGATTAATGGGGTTTTGGGGGATGGTACTCTATCACTTCGAACCGCGGAGGAATGGTTTCGACGATTCAGAGCCGGTGAAAACGACACCATGGATAAGCCAGCCGGCGGAAGACCTGTGACGACAAATACCGATCAAATCATGGAATACATCGAGTTAGACCGGCATGTGGCTTCTCGTGACATCGCCCAGGAGATGGGAGTTAGTCACCAAACCATTTTAAACCATCTGCAGAAGGCTGGATACAAAAAAAGCTTGATGTTTGGGTGCCGCATGATTTGACGCAAAAAAACCTTGTGGACCGAATCAACGCCTGCGATATGCTGCGGAAACGGAACGAACTCGACCCATTCTTGAAGCGGATGGTGACTGGCGACGAAAAATGGATCACATACGACAATATCAAACGAAAACGGTCGTGGTCGAAGGCCGGTGAATCGTCCCAAACAGTGGCCAAGCCGGGATTGACGGCCAGGAAGGTTTTGCTGTGTGTTTGGTGGGATTGGAAGGGAATCATCCACTATGAGCTGCTCCCATATGGCCAGACGCTTAATTCTACCATCTACTGCGAACAATTGGACCGCTTGAAGCAGGCGATCGACCAGAAGCGTCCAGAATTGGCCAACAGGAAGGGTGTAGTGTTCCACCAGGACAACGCCAGACCACACACTTCGTTGATGACTCGTCAGAAGCTACGGGAGCTCGGATGGGAGGTTTTATCGCATCCACCATATAGCCCGGACATAGCGCCAAGTGATTACCACCTGTTCCTGTCCATGACGAACGCCCTTGGTGGTGTAAAGTTGAACTCAAAAGAGGCTTGTGAAAAGTGGCTGTCCGAGTTCTTCGCAAATAAGGAGGGGGGCTTCTACGAGGGAGGTATTATGAAGTTGCCGTCTAGATGGAAACGGATTATCGAACAAAACGGCGCATATTTCAACTAAATCGGATCACTGTAACACTTTTTATAAAGCATTGAATAAAGAGCAAAAAAGCGGAAGGGAGATATTTGACAACCTTATATATCCGATCTAAACGGCAAGCGTAATTGACAAAGGTATCTTTCCTTGTTATTTCAATTTTTTTTTAGCTGTAATCTCGGAAAATTATAACAAAATCTGGGAGTTTGTTATATGTTTTTTTCCAGAATTGTTGAACGAATTCTTTAAATTTGTATTCTTTTCTTTCTATGTATATAACAGACAATAGTGAAATTAGGCTATTTTTTGCCAATGTAACCTAAAATGCAAGAGTATAATATATATGTTTTCGCTTAAAAGGAAGTTGTTAGTTTTCCTTACTTGGTTACTGATAAATTATGCGATCGAAAGTTCCTTCCCTATTCTGATGTATCAATATATTGATAATACTAACATATATTTTTCTTAAAGGTGAATATTTGGATACATCTGATTCTGGATCCTGTGAAGAAATAGAAACGGAAGATTCTAAAAAATGTGAAAATTCTTCACTTCATGTCATGGACATTGAAAACAATATTGAAATTTTTAATGCTTTGGAGGCAAGAAAAGAATACCTAGTAAGCCAAATTAAACCGTTTTCACTATCCGGTGAACAACACATGACATCACATCCTCATTTGAAGACATACATCGATTATAACAATGCACAATTAATAGCGCAATATTTAGCGACGAAGCGACCGTTTAGTCAATCTTTTGATGGATGTTTAAAAAAAATTATTTTGGTCGTGAAGTGAGTACCCCTTTAGCTCCCTTTTGTAATACATTTTAACCCAACTTGAAATTTTGTGTTGGCCTGTCACAGCGAACCGTCCATAGCAGTACGAACTCGAGCAATGAAATGCTTGGCCAACATTGTTGAAGTTGATCCATTGGTACTTAAACGAAAAGACATGCAAATGGGTGTTAACCAAAAATTTTTAGACACAGCTATTTCTGTACGTGAAGCTGCTGTGGATCTTGTGGGAAAATTTGTACTTAGTAATGAAGAACTAATTGACCAGTATTACGAAATGCTGTCGACTCGAATATTGGTAAGATGAACATACTCATTCTTTACATTTGTATTGAAAATTGATCACGCTTGTATTGAAATTAACATTTTTTAAATTAACATTGTAATTTTAGTCAAAAATTTAAAAAGCAGAAAAGGCGACATTTTTGGGAACGTGGGAATGGGAACGTAGTGAGTCTTTCGGTTTCCACAATTCCTAAAAACATTGGAGGATAGTAGAGATGAGTACAGGGTATAATATAGTCGGAAAATTCGACTCTAGCAGCAAATAGAGTTATAGACTTTTTAGTCTTCTTCCCTACTGAATCGGTAGTATGGCCATAGATTTGCTGTTGTTTTCCCAATCGCAAAAGTATGGAACAAAAATTTGATCTTGGCAAAAGATTTTGGCAAAACCTTATTTTCCATAGCACGCGAGCATAGGACCGCAAATTTGCAGACACAGGTAGGTCCGCGCCGGAGTCCCCTAAGGCAGCGTGCTGGGCCCTTTATTATACAATGTCTACCTGGCCGATCTGCCTGGCTTGCGGAGCCCTAACAAAATGGCAGCCACCTATGCGGACGATACCGCCTTCCTGACCGCTGCTGACAACGCTACAGAGGCAGCTGCTGTCATGCAGGAGCAACTAGATCTTTTCGACAGTTGGCAGAGAAGGTGAAATGTTCAAGTGAATAACGATAAATCCACCGCCACCACATTTTCTCTCCGTCCAGGAAATGGCCCACCGGTCCACCTCAACAGCTCCCCCATCACGCAGGTAGAAAACCCAAGATACCTGGGCTTCACGCTAGACAGGAGGCTTACTTGGAAGCCTCACCTAGTCAAAAAGCGAAAGCAAAAAGCGAAACCAGTGTGAAATATGATTAATGGCGTACTATTGGCTGATGGGTAGGAGGTCGAAGCTGAGGACCTCTTCGAAAATCCTAATCTACAAGGCGATTATTCGGCCAATTTGGACATACGGGATCCAACTTTGGGGCACGGCCAGCAAGACTAATATTCGGACTATCCAGACATTTGAAAATAGAGCCCTCCGTATCGCCACTGGGGCCCGTGTCTACCACGACAACCAGACAATCCAGAAATCCAGCAGCAAGTACATCCAGAGACTACACAACCACCCCAACGAGTTGGCGACTACTCTTCTCGACAACAGCGAACAGATGCGGCGGATGCGCAGAACTCACCCGCTGGACCTCAACCGGAATAAGTCTTAGTCATTCTTATTCTTATTCCTATTATTCCACCTCTAACTTTTAGCAAAAATTATAAAGTACATAGAAGGGACATCAGGGCCCAAAACGGTCAACTTTTTTCGTCGAGCTTGTTGGTGAGGGGGGAACGCACATGCATACGATTCTATTTTTAGAACTCTTTACATGTATCCGTCAACAAAAATGTGAACCTATGTATGTATGTATGTGTGACTGCTCGCACGACGGAGTAAAAATGTTTTGGCTTCCAAATTTCAATTTCTCGTTTCTGTTTTCGATGCGCCGATGTGGTAGTTGGTAGAACGAATGGTATTTTTAATCGCCGCAGATCGAGACAGGATGGTAGCGTAATGCATAGAGTAGTTACTCTATGTGTAATTTTTCTGTGTTTAAATCCTCGTAAGGACTGAACTTTTTCTTTCTTTTATAATTATTTTTATTTTTCTTTAATTGGAATATTTTTCTTTAATTTTACAAATGTAAAATTGTTTTATTCTTCATTATGTCCCGCTAAGAAAATGCTAATAAAATTTCAAGGGAGTCCCTCCGGCATTTTGTCATCCAACACGTCCGTCACTTATTTTTACAACAATTGTAATAGAATGCAATTAAAAATAATAATAATAACGTAAAAATTAGAAGTAAAAAAAAAAAAATAATAAAAAAATAAAAGTAAATATAAAAAGAATCATAAAACTAAAACTTTATCAAAATTGAAACAACCGCCCGCTAATGAAATCAAACCCAGGACCCCATGAATAAGGACCGCGCACTAGGCTACCCTCGAAGTCGATTTTATGATACTTAAAATTGGTGTTAAAGGAGGCGCTAGAATCCATACCAAAAACAGAGCTGACGAGTAAGGATAGTAAAAGATATTTCTGATCTCTTTACTCTCACATTGGTTCGATTACAACGTTTAAAACTTGCATCGTTCCAAAAATGTTACGATCTAAAAATAGAATTCTCTCTCTCCCTCTCTCATCTGCCAGCCGTTTGTCGTGGAACCCGCTCTCAAATGTTTTCATTATTACAGCGGGTTCCACGACGGAAATAATGAAAACATTTGAGAGCGGATTCCACGACGCGGCCTGCCAAAACGCCGTAGAACCCGCACTTATAGACATTTTTACAGCGGGTTCCACTACTAATTTTTTTTATTGGATTATAAATTTGGGGAAACACATTAAAAGAATAAAAATATAATATAAATAGATTAAAATTTAAAAAAATGGATGTGCCGGGCCTGGTTTGAACTCGTTTTACTAGGCACACCAGCCAAGCACTCTACCACTCGGCTATTCCTCATTTGTTGTCGCGCGAAAAATTTCTCAAACTTAACTTGTAGCGCAATGAAACCCGCTCGTTCCAGCTGGAACCCACCATAGAAAATTGTTCTTTGTATGAGATGTCCCATCTATGTTCTTTATAATCTTTGCTTTAAGGGGACCCCATTCTCGGTTTTAAAAAATCGATTTTTTTTTTTAATTTAATTCGAACTTGTAACTATTCAAGAATGTTCCCTGAAAATTTTAAGTAAAAATTTCAAAAACTCTTGAAGATATAGCCTCAGGCGACGGCGAGAGCCGTCTCAAAACTTTAAACGCGTTTTTCTCGAAACAGTGTTTTTACGACTGGCGCATGAGGTTACTCAAGAACTATTAAACCAATCGGTTCCAAATTTTAACACGTTATTCTATACATATATAGCTCTCGTATGAACTAGGATAAATCAAATCGGTGAAGATCTTCTTTACTTTTCAACTCGATTTGTGGCTGAAAAAAATGGAAATTTTCAAAAAAAAATGTTTTAGATGTTCCAGTGAGCGGAAATCACATGCGCCGCCGAAAAGAAGGGCTTTTCTTGGATCACAAAAAACAACAACAAAAACAAAACAAAAAAAATTTTGTGAAATGATTTTCTTCCTTTTTGTGTCTTAATATATGTAAGCACAGTTACAACGCTAAAAAATAATTTATGTTCATTTGCCAACCCATTGAAAATCGTCAAAATTTAAAATCAAGAATGGGGGGGGTCCCTTAAGTTACACACAACCCAAGTTTTCTGTCACAATATTTAATGGCTGTCCCTGTTGGACAGTTTTAAATAAATTCGAACGTGCCATATTAAAAAAGAAAATGAAGTCAAAATGAGAGCAAATGAGTGAGCTTCTAAGTGCTTACACTGTCAGTGTGCCGGCAGCGCTGCAGTAGAATTTCCTACCCTCTGCACGCGTGCTATAGAAAAGACACAAAGCTAAGTAAATTTTTTTTAATTTTAACGATAATAGTGGGATCATTTCCCCTATTACAAAAAAAATTGGATAGACCTAAGTATAAAGTTAAAAAGAGACTCACCTCGCATCTTATTAAGAGGGTAATGAGCTACCCGGATTGGGGTCAGCTGAAGCTCCACGGAAGATGCCGCGTTTTCTGTGCCATTGTAATTATGAAGCAAAAATATGATCACTTAAAATGCAGGCTTTAATTATACCTTCTAAGTTAGCTGCTAGCATCTTGTGGGACTTGACCGCTTGTCCAAAAACCCTTCCTCCTATTCCTGGACTAGGACGTATCGGCTCTATCCTCAGCCAGATGAAGCAAGAGAGCAGCCGAGTCTGCTTTACAGTGATGGAGGTTTATTTGCAGGATCCACAAACATCTATGATATCTCACTCCGCCATTGTGACTTCCTCATCTTCATCGTTGGGGATGCCTCTTCATGCAGTGCATCAAAGAGGCATCCGATGTATAGGCATAGCGTCTGACGCTTCGATCTTGGGGCCAGTTTTTTCGGGATCTCTGTTGAGTTTGCGTCGCCATCGCAGTAAGAGCTGTTCACCTTTACGGGGCAGAGCTTAAACCGAAGTTTTGCTCGGCCCCAATGGGAGTTAGAGACTCTTTGTAGATAATCAGGTGCTTGATTTTTGACCGCTTGATTTTTTGGTCCATTTGGTAAACTTTCGCCACAGGCCAATCCGTTGGGGAAGGTGTGGGTTGCAATTCTGGAGCATAGAATACATATCATAGATGTTAACTCGTAGATGTCTTGTGTTGTGTTTTTATTAGGGTTGTTGGTTTTTGAAAATATATCGTATTGATGATATTTGCTGTGAAAAAAATATCAATCGATAATATTCAGAAACATCACCAAAAAAAATCGATATATCGAGTATTTTCGATATTTTTAATAGTCAGCTAAAACTGAAAAAAGGTTATTTTTAAATTAAAAAAAAAGGTTTTAATATGTGTTGTCATCCGCCATGAACTGCAAACAAGACATATTTTTTATTTAAAAAGTGAATTGAAAAAAAAAACAAATATTTATACCCACTCTCAAGCAACTTTTATTTAAGTTCTTTGAAATAAAAAATAACAAAATTATTAAGGACATTGTATTCAAATTTATTTATAAAAAAACTTAATACAAAAAAAAAAGTTTCATGGAATTCATGGAATATGTACTTAATAATGCTAATTACTTAATTCTCTTATTTAATGCTCTTAATTACAAAATAAATCTTTCTTCAATGATTTAAAAAAAACTCTTTCGGTTATATGCTGGTATGTCATTCGACTACGGGAGTCACAGACACCGTTCAGATGGAACCGAACTTCCAGGCGTGATAAGAAAACTTAAAGCAACCTTCGCTAGCATCGTCATCGTTGAAATTTGTGAATTCCAGAATTCCAACGGATTTGTCTCCCAAATACAAAATGGCATACTCAAGTAAACCTGCATTTCCTTTCTTTCGCAACTAATATCGGAGAACACCAACTCAAAAATATTATTATCGACTATTTTTGCCCAAAAAATATCATAAAAAAATATATCGATATATCGATATTTTGATATATTTCCGACATCCCTAGTTTTTATACCCTTGCAGAGGGTATTATAATTTTGTCCAAAAGTGTGCAACGCAGTGAAGGAGGCATCTCCGACCCTATAAAGTATATATATTCTTGATCAGGATCACCCCCTGAGTTGATATCCTGTCCGTCTGTCCATCTGTCTGTCTGTTTCTACGCGAACTAGTCTCTCAGTTTTCAAGCTATCGTCTTAAAACTTTGCACACACCCTTCTTTTCTTTGCACACAGTATATAAAACGGAACGGCCGGGATCGGCCGGCTATATCCTATAGCTGGTATATAACAGATTGATCGGAAATGGTATAACTTTGGTGTTTTTAAATTTAGAGAGTTAAAATTTTATTTTGGTTTCTTATTTTGTTTAATTTTGGCGAGTTTCCGCAGCACTCGATCCCCGGTCTATTAAAAACTGGGATGAATTTCTATCCCGGTCTCTGTCGACAGAGTTCGAACAAATCAACGGCGGGAATACCCACTACCTGTCCGTATCTGTTTATTTACGAGAAAGGTCCCGAAAATATTTGCTTATTCACAGAGCATTTCACTTGGGGAGAGGTCGTTCGCTTTCTGCAACCTTTGATTCGTTCGGTATCCCTAAGTTAGACATCCTAGACTTCATGCTACAAACTCTTCGGTCCGAATCCGATTGAATTTAACAATATGCTTTATAAAAAGGCTGACAATATTTTTGATAAGCTTTCATTTCTTAATTTTAATTATCTTAACTGCCAAAAAAAGTTTTTAAAATACATAATTATAAATGTAAAACATATTCAATAATTTTAATTTTTTAGGACACTGGTGTCTCCGTACGAAAAAGAGTGATAAAAATTTTGCGTGATATTTGTATTGAATATCCAGACTTTTCGAAAATACCTGAAATTTGCGTTAAAATGATACGTCGCGTTAACGACGAAGAAGGCATTCAAAAGCTTGTTACTGAAGTTTTTATGAAAATGTGGTTTTCACCGTGTGTAAAAAATGATAAGGTTAGTTCTGTTCATTGCTAAGATATATTTTTAAAATACATTTTTTGCATTTAATTTTAGCATGGAATCCAAAGGAAGATAAATCAAATCATTGATGTAGTAAACACATCTCACGATGCAGGATCAACTTGGTTAGAAGGACTTCTTTTGAGTGTGAGTTTATGTAACAGTAAAGTTTAACATTAATATTAATATATTTATTAAATATTTAAACTTTTGCTGGGTGTAATTAACTTTGTTTAGTTGTTTATACCGTCGTGAGGGAATAGTTCTGACTTAAACAATATTTTAACTTTAATCAGGAAATTAATTAATATACCTAACTTAATAATAAGTAAAATACAATAAATTCGGCTTCACTATTTGTTTTTTGACTGGCTCTTATGTTTGTTTTGTAGAAGATTGGTAGACTACAATTTTTTTAAATTGTTTTTTAATTTTTTTTTTTAATTTAAAAATTGGAAATGATATTGAAAAACAAGAAATAAAAGCTAACTTCGGGCAGAGCCGAAGATAATACACTCCTGCAGTTAAAACCGGATATTTATCGCAAAAATCGAATATAGTTGGCCGATCACTATGAGAATATCATAATATAATCAATTTATTACAATACAAAATCTTAAAAAAAGACCCAAGCTTCTATCTTCAAAACTACAATAGTTGGTATTTTTACTAAACACCAAATACCATTTCCGATCGTTCACTTATATGGGATCTATAAGATATAATCGGATCAACTGACCAAAAATTAAGGTCTGTACTTTCTATTCTCAAAAACACGAAAGTTGCGTCATTTACGATTCTTCAGTTATATGGCAGCTATAGGATATAGTCTGCCGATCCTTATTAAATATTACACAGTGCGACAAAAAAAGAAAAGTTGGAGGAACTTTTGAAGAGACCTAGTAGGAATTGTTCATTAGGTCGAGTATAGTATAAAACCATGTTTGAAATTTTTCATACACCCTCAAATCTTGATTTATTTCGAAAAAACGGTTTTCGAAAGTGTTTTGCTCTTAAAAATTCCTGAATGCGTAATTTTAGGGCGATTTTCCATTTTTTTTACGTTTTTCGATAGTTAAATGTTGTAGCTTTTGAAAAAAGAAATACATCTTTAATTTATTTAAGGGGGTCATCTGAGTAGAATTTTGAAAAAATACAAATTTTTTTTTTTCGCCTAAAAAATTCTTTAGGGTCTTAAAAATGACATATCAAAAGATAGAGTCCGGCAAAAGTGTCTAAGTGTCGAAATTTTTCATTCTGCGGCGATGCCTCACAGGTATATCCCACAGTACTTAAAACTTTAAACGCGTTTTTCTCGAAACCGCTTTTTTTGCTATGAACGCTATGAAGATTGGACTGACTTGTTTTGGGAAAAGCTTTATAACTTCAACAATTTTCATAATATCGTAATAAAATTTCATAAATTTCGATAAAAATTTCAAACATGGTTTTATACTATACTCGACCTAATGAAAAATTCCTACTAGGTCTTTTCAAAAGTTCAAAATCACTGTCGCACTGTGTTATCTACCATATTTTGACAAAAATAGCACTCATGCAAAATTCGAACTCTCTAACTCTAAAAACATCAAAGTTGTACCATTTCCGATCAATCAGTTATATGACAGCTATATGATATAGTCGGCCGATTTCGACCGTTCCGACTTATATACTACGTGCAAAGGAAAGAAGGGTGTGTGCAAAGTTTCAAGTCAATAGCTTTAAAACTGAGAGACTAGTTTGCGTCGAAACAGACAGACGGACAGACAGATAGCAATACGGACAGACGGCCATCCTCATATCAACTCAGTAGGTGATCCTGATCAAGAATATATATACTTTATAGGGTCGGGGAAGTCTCCTTCACTCCGTTGCACACTTTTGACCAAAAGTATAATACCCTCTGCAACGGTATAAAAAGGATAGAATTTTATTCGAAATCATCGGTATCAGAGAGAGGCATATACAGATGCTTTATTAGAAGCAAACTCTTAGCATCATCGTCCATAATAATTGTTTTTGTAGAAGAAACTGAAGACCCATTTGACAATGAAGTTATCGAAGAGTCTGAAGAAAATACTAAGGCATTTAACACATCTTTAATGGTATTTTTCCTGAAATTTTTTCTGTTATTGCTTTCGCGAAATTGGTGATCAATTCTAAAGCTACTCACTTGTGTTGTTAAAATATTTGATATTTGGCATTTGATATTTTCATTTTCTCTGCGAATTAAGTCTGCCGATTCTTTCACAGAAAGTAGCCTAATGGGTCTACAGTATCGAGTAGAAGAAAGTCTATTGTTTTTTCATAAAACTATCGGTCCGTTCTACACTGTTAATGGAATATACAAATTGAAAATAAATATTGATCTATCATTTTTCCATCAAGTCATCCCATTTTGGCGGTATACGCTATGGGGTAGACATAGTTTTCATTATATTAACGCTCAACTCTACGTCGGCGTTAGCCATTAAAACCTACTGTGGAGCACAGTTAGTTAGGTATAACAATTTTTTGACTTGCGTTTTTTTTTTGCAACAATCCCCAAAATCTTTTTGGGGACGTCCAATATTTTTTAAAGATTAGATTAACATTAATGCCAGCAGCGTATCTAGCCATTCCTAGTTTTTGGTTTCGAAAAAATGCTTATTTTTTCCACAGTCTTTACCCTTTACTATAAGCGTACTAATAAAATTTCGCAACTTTTGGCCAATGCTCGCACTGATATTCCAGAGTATATTTAAGGTTTTTTTTTGGTACATCAGTACCAAATACAAAGTTTTCTATGGCAAAAAACTTCTTGGTTGGGATGACTTTTGAGTGTCATACTAAAAAAAGACACTTTCGGCTAATAAAGGAGTTAGACTGAATCCACTTGAATCCGGTAAGCTCGACTCTGCAAAAGACAGGTTTACGCTAATCCGGGCTCGATGTTAATACACTGAATTACCACTACGTTTTATGAGTTACACATTTATAGACCGGTTACAAACATTGATTCTTTCATTGATTTTTATAAAAATACCTCAAGACTTTTTCGACAATTAATACATTATACATCTTATTCAACCTTATATATCTCCCACTGAAGAGAACTAGCGCATTTGTGGCGTGTTGATGGCCAGGGCAGTACTATGGTAGTTATAGTTGCCATTTGCCTAAGGTTATAGTTTTGCGCTCATGATGTCAGTTAGTAACTGAGGGTATTTTTCTGTTTTAAAATTAAAATTTAAATTTAAATTGATAGCTATGTCGCAAAAATAAAATCATTTTTACGGCTTGAACCTGTATATGGCGCAGTAAAGGGTTTTCTGAAATCTAGCTTAATATTTATGAGAAGGACGCTTGAGACAAACGGAGCGTGTGTTTCTGGAAAGCATCCAAGGAAGTGAGTATCCAGCATCATAGTTAGAGCTTCTTCAGTTGTTCTAGCCCAAGCTAGCTCTGTCTACCTCCATGGAGGTTTATTTCTTTTTATACCCTTGCAGAGGGTATAATAATTTTGGTCAAAAGTGTGCAACGCAGTGAAGGAGACATCTCCGACCCTATAAAGTATATATATTCTTGATCAGGATCACCTCCTGAGTTGATATGAGCATGTCCGTCTGTCTGTCTGTTTCTACGCGAACTAGTCTCTCAGTTTTAAAGCTATCGACTTGAAACTTTGCACACACCCTTCTTTCCTTTGCACGCAGTATATAAGTCGGAACGGATCGGCCGACTATATCCTATAGCTGCCATATAACTGATTGATCGGAAATGGTATAACTTCGGTGTTTTTAGAGTTAGAGAGTTCAAATTTTACATGAGCGCTATTTTTGGCAAAATAATACGACATGCCAAATTTCGTAAGGATCGGCCGACTATATCCTATAGCTGTCATATAACTGAACGGTCGGAAATGACCCAACTTTCGTGTTTTTGAAGATAGAAAGCTGGAACTTGGTACAGATTATATTCTTCGTCAGTTAATCCGACCTACCAAATTTCATAACGATTGGCTAACTATATCTTATAGCTGCCATATAACTGAACGATCGGAAACGGTTTTTGGTAGAAATACCAACTTTGGTATTTTTAAAGATAGAAGCTTGAGACTTTTTTTAGATTTTGTATTGTAATAAATTGGATTATATATTCATATTCCCGTAAGGATCGGCCAACTATATCCGATGTTTGCGATATATATCCGGTTTAAACTGCAAGGGTATATAAACTTCGGCTCCGCCCGAAGTTAGCTTTCCTTTCTTGTTTTTATTTTGTTTTTGGGAATTTTTTTTAAGGGCATTATTGCAGACTAGAGTACATTTTTGCACCGTGAGTCAGAGTGCTCTAAGGCTTAGATCTAAGGCTTAGATCTTGAAGGCCAGTTCCTCCGGGATCTCTGCTAAGGTTGTGTCGCCACCGTCACCACAGTAAGATTTATTCACCTTTATACCTACATATATACCTATTCGATTTGAAACTTGGCCATGGTCTCCACGCACATCAAGTTTGTGTCAAAATTTTTTCACGCCCACCCTGCCGCGAAAGTGGAATCTTGTTGTAGCGTCAATTCATGAATGTTTTTTTTTTAGAAATGTTTTGATCAGGGATGGTAAATAATGATTTTTTTAAGGGGAGGTTCTTTTGGATTTTTCCGAAAATTAAGCAAACTTTGAGAATGGATTGCGGGAAAATGAAAAAACATACGAACTTATGCTTTTGAACTTTTGATTCGTTGTTTATTAACGATTAAAAAAAATATTCAATATTCAGGAAATTCAAAATGGCGGCTTCAAAATGGCGGATCTCGTAGACCACTATTTTTCTGCTTTGTCGAGTGTAGGGCCGCTGCTAGTGAACTTAAATTAGAAATTTATAAAATTTATTAAAATTGATGGAATTTCTTATGCCTTATACCTAACGACAATTAATTTTGGTAAAAATAAACCAATTTCATTGACGTTTAAAAAAGAAATTGACATTTTTTCTCTTTTTATTTACTTTGATCTCGTTTAAAAATTATAAATAAATAATTTTTTATTCCAACTTTAGGTATAAGGCATACAAAAAAGTATGTACTTTTAAACATTTTTTGAATGAAGGAAATCGGATCAATAGAACGAGCCCTGTGTGCGGCAAGAGGTTTAAAAACGCGAGAAAAA